AGTAGCAATAGTAGTCGTAGTAGCACCCGTACTCAATCGCGGTCGTAGTCGTAGTCGTAGTCGCAGTCGTAGTCGTAATCGTAGCAGTAGTAATCGAAGTAGTAGTAGCGGTAGTAGTAGTAGTCGCCGTGGTAAAAGTAGTAGTAGTAGTAGTAGTAGTTGTCGTAGTAGTAGTAGTAGTAGTAGTAGTAGTAGTGGTAGTAGTAGTAGTCGTAGTAGTGGTAGTGGTAGTGGCAGTGGTAGTAGTAGTAGTAGTAGTAGTAGTAGTAGTAGTAGTAGTAGTAGTAGTAGTAGTAGTAGTAGTATTTCGTAAACGTAATAGTAGTAGTAGTAGCAGTAGTAGTAGAAAAAATAGTAAAAGTAGCAGTAGCAGTAGCAGTAGCAGTAGCAGTAGCAGTGGTAGTAGTAGTAGTAGTAGTAGTAGTAGGAGGGGGAGGAGGAGGAGGATCAACAGCAGCAGGCAGCAGCAACGGCAACATCGGCAGCAGTTGCAGTAGCAGCAAAAGTAGCAGTAGCAATAGCAATAGTAACTGGAGGAGCAGGAGGGCGAGGAGGAGCAAGAGGACGAGGAGGAGGAGGAGGAGCAGGAGGAGAAGAGGAGGAGGTCGAAAAGGAGAAGGAGGAGCAGGAGGAAGAGAGGGGACAAGTCTTCAACCCCGCCGAGGAAGAGGGGGGGGGGAGGAGCAAACTAAAGACCTTTCGAGATTAGAGGGGCCGTCCACCCCATGCTTCCTGGACAAGCAGGAGACCGTGCAGGGGGTGGAGGCCCAAAATCGAGGGGCAGTTCGTGGTAAAGAGCGTCGAGCGGCAGACGCACCTTGCCAAGTTCGACGCGCAGCTGGCGGAGGGCGCGGAGGTGCCCCAGGCCACCATCGTGGAGAGCTGCGGCGGAATGAGAGGGCAGAAAACCCAACCCCATAAGAATCACCTCGGCACACGAAGCCGTTTAGTAAACGCACCCACAGAGGGAATCGACCAGGGCAGGGCTGTTTTCGGGGATGGACAGAAGCCCCTTTAGTAAAACGTGGTTTAGTGAAAACGACCTCGGGCCCAAACCTGGCGCGCACAAGCCTGGAAAATGACGGCCGCGGCGCCCTCTCGAGAACCGAAAACGGGCAGTTCATTAATCGACGTGTCAGGGTGGGGGTTCTGTCAACCCCCGATGTTTAAAAAACGCCCAACGCCGTTTAGCAAACGCCGAATATCGGGTCCGGGTGTTTTTTGTTTTCTCCCTGGAGAGAAGTACCGATCGAGGAGCTGTGGAGGCGCCCCCGATCGAGGGACAGTACGCGGCGAAGGCATCGAGGCACACGAGCTTGGGCGAAGCGGTGGGGGGAGAGGCTCGACGGGGAGGAGCGGTGGTCGCAGCGTCTGGCAGCGGCATCTAGCGTTAGGTCAGGCAGGTCCCCCTCCAGACGGATTTAGGCAGAAAAACAAACACAGCCCAACAAATACTCCAAAAGTGTCAAACACTAGAGAATATTCCCCTGACTATTGTCTAACTATGTTTGGATAGATTCCTCTTGTAGAGGGAAAGGCTCGACTTGTATCTAGCGGTGAAGAGCGGCGAGAGTGGTGAGGAGAGGCGGTGCCGCAGCGTGTAGTGCAGGCTCACAGGGCGGCCTTCAGGAGACCCGCGGACGCGGAGGCCACGCGGAGGCCAAGCGGAGGCTCGCTGGCGATTTCCTCGTGGAGCTGCCGCCGCAGGCCGTTCGGAAGAGTCGGGCAGACCTCGAGGACGGCGTGGTGAACGAGGCGGGGCCTGCTGAAGGCAGAGTGCGTAGCAACCACCCTGACCTTCGAGCGGTTCTCCGAAGTGGCGCCGTCAGCATCCGAGGGCTCGGTGGAGCAGGCGGCCTGGCTGGGGAACATGGAGGCGGAGATGAAGATGGAAGTGTGCCCGAAGGTGGTCCTCGCGCTGTTCGCGGCGGTAATGCACAAGCGGCACGCCGAGGTGTCGGAGGCATGCGACCGCGGGGACACGGGGCGAGCCCACATCCTCACGTTCAAGTTAACCAGGCTGGTCGTCGAGGCCAACCTGCACGTGGGGACGCTCGTGAGGGTGCCGTTCGACCTGCGTGGTGGGTGCCGCGGCGGCGTGAAGGGCTCCGCGCGGAAGCTTCACGGGGGCCAGGCCGAGCAAGGGGTGAGCCTCGGCGGGGTGGCGGAGGCGGCTCCTGAGGGGGGGCGATGGCGCATGGTTCGGGGTTATCCAGTATAAAGCCTCCCCCTTTTTGCGGTGCCGCGGCCCTGCTCCCACCGCAGGCTTGCCGCGGGGACAGAAACCTTGCGCAGGCGAGGTCGAATCAGGCGTTCTCAGCGCGCGCGCCGATGGGCGCCTGCCGCGGGGTGGACCTTCGAGGCAGCCCCGCGGCCTGGCCTCCACCATCATCACAACCACCACCACCACCACCACCACCACCGTCATCATCATCATCATCATCATCATCATCGTCATCATCATCATCATCAGCAGCATCAGCATCAGCATCGGCATCAGCATCAGCATCAGCAGTATCATCATCGTCATCGTCATCGTCATCGTCATCAGCATCATCAGCATCAGCAGCAGCAGCATCATCATCATCACCATCATCATTTTCATCTTCATCATCCGGTCATCATCATCATCAGCATCATCATCAGCATCAACATCAGCAGCATCATCATCAGCCGCAGAAGCATCATCATCATCATCGTCAGCATTATCATCATCATCATCAGCATTGTTTTCATCATCGGCAGCATCGTCATCATCAGCATCATCATCATCAGCATCATCATCAGCAACATCAGCATCATCATCAGCATCTTCATCATCATATTCATCATCATCATCGTCATCGTCATCAGCATCATCATCATCAGCATCAGCATCATCATCAGCAGCATCATCACCATCACCATCACCATCACCATCACCACCACCACCATCATCATCATCATCATCATCAGCATCATCGTCACCTATGCATCATCATCAGCAGCAACAGCAGCGTCATCATCAGCATCAACAGCAGCGTCATCATCAGCATCAGCAGCATCATCATCAACAGCATCACCATCACCATCAGCATCATCATCAGCAGCCAGCATCATCACCATCATCACCATCATCATCAGCATCATCATCAGCAACAGTAGCAGCAGCAGCATCATCAGCAGCATCACAATCATAATATGCAGCATCATCATCAGCACCATCAGTACCATCAGCATTATCATCATCAGCAGCATCGTCATCATCATAAACATCATCATCACCATCATCATAATCATCCTCATCATCATAATCATATTCGTCGTCATCATCATCACCATCAGAATCATCATCATTATCGTCAGTGTAGTCACCAGCAGCAACGTTCTGATCAGCATCGGCGTCCTAATTATCAACATCATCCTCACCAGAATCGTCGTCGCCGACATCATGCACCGCAACAACAGCATCATCGCCATCACCATCATGAACATCCTCGGCATCATCACCCTCATCAGCATCCGCATCCCCATCGTCATCGCCATGATCATTAGCATCATCGTCATCACCTTCATCATCATCATCATCATGATCATCATGATGATCATCATCATCATCATCGTCATCATCCTCATCATCATCATCATAATGTGGACCCCCGTGTTTAGCTGATCCGGCATCTGTCCTCACCCGCCCACCCACGACGGCAGGACGTGCTGTTGGGCGAAGCCCTCAGAATAACGTCGCCGTCGGACAGAGGGTGAACATGGCAACAAACGAGAGAACACATCTTTCCAGCAGCAGGATGCGTGACCACACGAATCCAATCTTGATTGCAGTAACTGGCCTGCGAGCGAGAGGCCGCCACCGCACACAGAACTGAAAAGTATGCAATGCGTATTGTACTCTGGTCCCTGCAGAGATCCTCGAGTGGCTCATCATCACCCAGGGCAGGGAAGAATGCACGAAACGGACGCTCCACTAACCTACCACTGGACGAAATCATTAGTGCAGACGGGGGGGGCCCAGAAAAAACTACGAAGGGGGAGATCGCACTCACTTCACATTAAGTAACATTCAGAGACCTCATTCTCCAATAAGGTGGATCCCCGTGTTTAGCTGATCCGGTATCTGTCCTCACCCGCCCACCCACGACGGCAGGACGTGCTGTTGGGCGAAGCCCTCAGAATAACGTCGCCGTCGGACAGAGGGTGAACATGGCAACGAACGAGAGAAAACATCTTTCCAGCAGCAGGATGCGCGACCACGCGAATCCAATCTTGATTGCAGTAACTGGCCTGCGAGCGAGAGGCCGCCACCGCACACAGAACTGAAAAGTATGCAATGCGTATTGTACTCTGGTCCCTGCAGAGATCCCCTCGGGCTGCGATGGTATACACATGACACTCCACTGAATCCCATACCCCACTCGTGTACTCTCTGCATATCAAGAAGTTCACCATCACAGCCCGTTCCCGCCAGCTAGACGTGCGCACTGAAAGGCAGACTTCACTTGCATCGAATAACGAAACCAGAAGGGCGGGAAAGAGCCGGCAGGAATGTCGGACTTGTGGAGGGGCACGCGCAGCCAGTCTAGGTCGATCGCCGCTTCCGTGCGCGATCGAACTCTGTCGGAAATACGTCCCAGCTGCGCGCTCACATCGGCTCCGAACCACTCCCATTTTGGGTTTGCCCACACTGGCTTGAAAACGAGAGCCGACCAAGTGAATCTGACTCCCACAAAATACGTGGAGAGAAGCGTCACCTCGTACTCAAAGACTTCAAACTTGTGAATCGCCACAAACTTCTGCTCAGACTTCGCAAGCGAAGGAAGCGTCGGGCCGACCCGATCCAGTGCCTTCCAGATCTCAGCGGCCCGATCCTCAGGCAACTGATGGAGTGCGTCCGAAAGCGCAGCAATCTGATCTGAGTTGCGGGCGCCCAGCGGCATGATGTAGCGCCCTCCCGTCGCATTCACGGAGGCGTTGAGGAGGTCGACGCCTTCCCAGGTCTCCTCCAAAGCTGACAAGCCACCGCGGCCAAACTTCACGGCCATGTCGGTCACCAGCACCGTGACGTTGGACGCCGCCTTCGTCAGGACACCTCCTGCGTCGGCAATGTCCTCGGAGAGGCTGATGACGGCGCCCACTCCCTTGGCCAGCGTGGGCGAGAAGCTCGGCGGGCTGATCCACAGCGCCAGCAACAGCACGGCGCCCGGCGACAGCCACCAGGCGCGGCCCACGCTGAATAGGCCTGCCAGGCCCTTCCGCCACGGCGAGGGGCGCGGCCGCCTCGGTTGTGGCGGCGGCAGCGCGGCCACAAGCGGTCCCTCGGCCTCGGAGCTGGCCGCGAACGGGTTAAGGACCCCGCTGGGCGGCGCACTCCAAGGCGAGGGAACTGCCACCTGCCCAAACGGCGTGCCCACCAGCGACCACGACGACGGCGGTGACAAACCTGCTGGCAACGTAGAAGCAGGTGAAGCTGACTTAGCTCCTGGCGACTTTGGGCCGCCTGGAGCAGGTGAAGCCGTACGCGAGCTCTTCGCGGACGGCGGCGTCAAACTCTTCGCTGAGGCCGGCGGCGTATACACACCGCCCGCAAACGTGCTGCCTACTTGCGGCGCCATGCTCAGCGGTAGGGAGGCCGTAGGAGGTCGTGTCGTACGTAGTGTTTCCAGCCACCAGCCGCCCAGCGCAACTGCTTCTCGCGCCCCGCGGCGAGGAGGTCCGTCAGCACCGCGTTGGCTGACTGGGCGTCCAGGTAGATCCTGAGGCTCGAGTCGCTCACCCAGCGGCCGCCCTCGCGGATCTCGGCGACGGGGCGCCCTCGGCGCGGGAGTCGGTAGCCCAGCCAGCGCGCGGGCTGCGCGGGCCCCAGCCCACAGTAAGCCCCAGCGCCGCTTCGGCTGTCTTGAGCAACGTGCGGTATTGTGTGATGCTGCAAGGGGAAAGAGGCTGATCGTGAGGGGTCTGCTGCACACAACTCCAAAGGGCCTCGATGATGTCGGAATGAACTCCTGGGAGCATGGCCACTTGGGGCCGCTGCGCTTTCGTACCGAAACGGACCCCCAAGGCCAGGACCACTGGATCACACTTTCCGTCGATAGCACGGTGGTGAGGAAAGGAAACATGTTGTGGACGCAGGCCGAGCATCTCCGACGGTCTGAGTCCAGTATGGCACTGCAGCACAAGGCCTAGGCCGAGCCTCACGTGGCCTGCGGACGCCAAGTAGATGCACAGGAGCTTCCCTGGCGCCTTACCCAGCGGGACAGTGTGCTTGATAACTCGAGACCTCTCCCAGCCTCGTAGCACCGCATGTGCCCACTTCAGCTCGCCTTTCATTCGAGGGAAAAACAGTTCCACCGCCGCCAGTAGATTGCAAAACTTGGACGGTGTCAGCAAGGACGCACATGCATTCTCGTACTCCACCAGCGCGTCGTCCCACTGGTCCGGGCCGACGGGGTTGAGGTGGTTGGCGAGGGCCCACTCCGAGAAGCTGCGTGCCTCTCGCCTGTACGTCTCGATCGTCTTCGGCTTGACTCGTGCCGCTTGGTGGTGGTCTAGGCGCCGCGGCCCACGCCACCTCATTTGCGTCGTGACAGCCAATATGCTGCCTGGTGCTTGGTGTCCACCCAGGGCAGCACGAACATGATACCTGTAGCTAAACATAGAGCAGCTCGTCGACGTAGAAGGAGGTTGAGTCCAGCAGCTGACGGGCGGCCCTTGGCCATGGCCGCGGAGAGGCCCTCGTTGTCCTCCAGGTTGGCGACCAAGTAGCCGTGCGCCCCTGGGGCGCGGCTGAGCGCTGCGAGCAGCTTGAGCGCTGCCCTGTCTTCGCCCAGCGTTATGTGGTCTGGGCGTTGCCATCGCCCTGATCCCAGCTCAGTCCATTCGCATTCAGGCTTCTCAAGCAGGCTCCGCGGCACCTTGGAGACGGCGATGCGATTCGCTATCTCCTTGTCCGCCCTGTTGAGGTGGCCGACCCTGCCGTCGAGCCGCGCAACAGTGTGGCCCGGCCGCGTGCCAGCCGCCACCAGGTCCTCTCGCTCGATGATGCTCGCGGCGGCCCCGACGATCCCGTAGCCGCCGAAGTCG